TTTCTGTAAAAAAACAGATAGTAAATATCCTAGGCTTTCTGGGCCCTATTGTCTCTATCACGACTAGTCAACTGTGCCACTGCAGGGTAAAAGCAGTCATAGGTGGTGATGGTTATTTTTAGGAGTTAACTTAGTGAATATAGAATATCAAGTTATTTAATCAAACACTAATTTAGGCATTGCTGTGAAGGTATTTTGTAAATGTGCTTAACATTTACAGTATGTTGACTTTAAGTAAAGGAGATTATCCTTGGTAATATGATGGGCCTCATCTAATCAGCCTTGAGAGCAAAAACAGCTTTTCTGTAGAAGAAATTCTGCCTTAAGACTGTGCTATCCATTCCCACTGGAGTTTCTGGCCTTCTGGTCTACCCTACAAATTTCACTGTTAACAGCTCCTACAACTGTGTTAGCCAATTCTCTAGACACATAAATAAATAGGTAGTACTATTATGTACTATTTGTTCTGTTTCTCTGGCCAACCCTAATACATAGACAATATATAAACATAGCCTGCCTGTGTTCCAATAAAACTATTTACACTAATAGGCAGTAAACCAGATTTGGCTTGTATACCATATTTTTCCAACCCCTAGTATTATTAATATTAAAAGATAGCTGTTTTTATTTAAAACTATGTTTCAGGCAGTGTGAAATGTGCTTCACATATGGATTCCAGGCGCCTCATAAATTGGGAATTGCTTCTGATCATATATTCTAGAGTAGCTATATGAGCAAGAATGATATTCCTAGAACCAGTGAGTGCTTTTTTTTTTTTTAAGATTTTATTTATTTATTTGACGGAGAGAGAGCGAGAGAGCATAAGCAGGGGCAGCTGCTGGCAGAGGGAGGGAGAAGCAGGCTCCCTGCTGAGCAGTGAGTCCGATGTGGGGCTCGATCCCAGAACCCTGGGATCATGACCTGAACCGAAGGCAGATGCTTAACCAACTGAGCCACCCAGGCACCCCGAACCAGTGAGTTCTTGATCATGAGCTTAGGTATAAGAAATCGTTTCTCAGGGGCTTGGGCTCCCTGCTTGGTGGAGAGCCTGCTTCTCCCTCTCCCTCTGCCTGCCAGTCTGCCTATTTGCGTTCTCTCTCTCTCTCTCTCTGTCAAATAAGTAAATAAAATCTTTAAAAAAAAATAAAAAGAAAGGGTTTCTCAGAGAGGTGGGTTTTTCCCCCCTTTTTTTCAGTGAGGGTTTTAAAATGGTATTCTCTTTACTTGTTTTTATATTGTTTCATCTATTAGCTTTGGGGATTGAAAATTATTGCAGCAGAAATCAACAGTGTCTTGGATGTTTATTTATTAAATGTGGTACCTTTTGACTAAACTCAAATTTTTAAAATTCCCTTCAATTAAGGGAAAAATTAAAATTCACAAAATCACTAAATCAGGGGTTTATCATTTTTGGAATGAAAGGAATTCTTTATATCAAAGATTTAAAGCACAGGATCTTTAAGTAAGAAGGAAGAGTCCTAGGGGTGCCTGGGTGGCTCAGCTGGTTAAGTGTCTGCCTTCAGCTCAGGTCATGATCTCGGGGTCCTGAGTTGAGCCCCCATTGGGGCTCCCTGCTCAGCAGGGAATCTGCTTCTCCCTTTCCCTCTGACCCTCCTCCCCGCTTGTACTCTGTCTCAAATAAATAAATAAATAAAATATATATATTTTTAAAGATTTTATTTATTTACTTGACACAGAGAGAGACAGCGAGAGAGGGAACACAAGCAGGGGCAATGGGAGAGGGAGAAGTAGGCCTCCCGCTTAACAGGGAGCCCAATGTGGGGCTCGATCCCAGGACCCTGGGATCATGACCTGAGCTGAAAGCAGATACTTAATGACTGAGCCACCCAGGCACCCCAAATAAAAAAATCTTAAAAAAAAAAAAAAAAAAAAGGATGAGTCCTCAATCTATTATTAAATAATATTACATATTTAAAATTATCTATTCCTTGGGCACTGAGTGGCTCAGTTGGTTAAGCATCCAACTCTTGGTTTCAGCTCGGGTCATGATCTCAGGGTCGTGAGATCAAGGCCTATGTTAGGCTCTGCTCAGCGTGGCATCTGCTCGGAACTCTCTCCCTCCCCATCCCCCATGTGTGTTCGCGCTCTCCCTCTCCCAAATAAATAAAATCTTAAAAAAATAGAATTACCCATAACCTGAAATAGTAGATCCCCAAATTGATTGATTCCACATGGTTTCCTTCTCCAGGGATTAATAAGATTCCCATTTAAGAAGAAATTGGTATCCTTTCTTTTCAACTCAGGGACCTCCCTATAACCACTCTTTTCTCATCCCCGGTATTACCTCCTGTTACTCAAAAACTTAAGAAATAACCTACATTTAAAAATAATTTGATTTATAAAAAGCAAACATGACCATACTTTTTCAAGATCACATGGTTTATTCAAAGAGAAGAGTATCTGTAAGATTGCCCTTACATAGAAAAGCATCTTAGGTTAGGTTGTAGAATGACAAAAAAGTAAGAAAAATTGGAACTTTTAAATTCAATATCTGAAAGAGATCTCTAAGCTATTAGATAGTTGAAGAAATGTTTAACCACAAGAGGAAAGGGCTGTTATGACCATGACCAAATGACAAATTTATAAAGTAGAAGGGGGAAATTAATAATAGTAAGTAAGAGCCTAATGTAGAGAAGAAACCAAGTTCAGAAATGGAAACTAATAGGAGTGGTGTGGGCAAGTGATGAACCAAGATATTTAGATACAAAAAGGTGTGTCAGAGTTGGTCATAAGGACAAAAAGTTTAGCAAAGGAAGGTCAATTAGGGGAATTTTGTGCAAAAAAGAAAATTATGGAATCTAAATTGGTCAAACAGTTCTGAATTCAAAAATTTTGCCTGTCAAATCATTTTGTACTGATTTTTAGTTCAGAAAACATAGTCACCATTGTAACCCATCTGTATCCACAATTCCTATCAAATTGTCTTTAACATAGGAAAATTTCAATGATTATTTGTTGATAGTGATAGTTACATGGAAACTCAAATCAGAGAAGGTATTTTAAAAAGACAATAACTAACCATTCTCAAGGAATAAAAACATAGTTATCAGCGATCTTTACCCAATTACTAGCATCACTAAGAAATTAGAGTCTGGAAGGTATGTTTAGCATAGAAAATTGGTGCCACACTCACCTCTGCTGATATCATCAGTTCTGGGTGGGGATGAAGCCATAATCTGCCAAAATCTGAACCATTCTTGCAGGGTTTGGGGGTTCTGTAGAGAAGTTAGTGCTACCAGGTCTGACTGCCATAGCTCAGGAAAATGGTGCAGTCATTCCTCTTAGCGTAGAAAATACTTGAGAAGATGTTTAAGGGACCTATAAAATATTAAGCCCCAGAAACACAGTATTAGCAGTGGTTTAGACATGGAATACAATAGGTAAGTTATGGAATGCTTACGATGTTCCAGGAACTGATGCATTATCTCATTTAATCCTTTCAGCAATCCTATAGGATACAGGTATTGTTATTAAACCCCGTTTTACAGAAACAGGTTTTAGCAAGGTTAAGGAATTGCTCAAGACAAGAAAGGTAGTAAGATAAGAGACAGAACTAGGATTTATACTCATGCAATCTGGTGCTTCAGTTGTGTATATCAATAGCCACAATGCTAGAGGTATATTCAAACAGGCTGAGAAAAAAATGTGTTCCCTAAAAAGGGCAAATTAATTTCCTCTAAAGTAATGTGTTCACTGTATCCCATACCAGGTGCTCTTTAACTCACATCCTAAAAACATAGACTGGCATTTACCTGACAACTTTAAATAATAATAAACTTTAAATCTTTAAAATTTATAATATTTTACACTTTATTTATAATAGTGAAGCATAGACAATCTGTTAATCTCCCAGAGTGAAATGGGATAAGTGATAGTGCATTCCCTTCAGATGAAATGACAAAAAAATACATATAAACCTCATACTTCATTAATTGGAATTATTTGAATCCAATGCATTGCTTCAAACCTAATAAAATAAGTCACTTTAAAAATCAGGTGCCGTGAGTAAGCCTACAAGTTTCAAAAACTTATCTTTACCGGTAAAGAATTTTTATGTTTGATAAATTATTCAAAATACGCACATTATCACCTGAATCCACGTAATATCTAAATCCACATAAATTGTGGCTTTCTTCTCTAACTTACTCCCTTTTATTTTTTACTAATCATTTACATATTAAGTTTACCACATCTACAGGTTTTTGAAAGTTTCGCCCAAATTTCACCAGACCATTTACCTCACAATTTTCTTCCCTCTAAGTGAATTTTTCCTGCCAAATATGTAGCTACACTATCAAAGATCAGTATCACGATTTTAAAAGACGTAACTGTAAAAGTATACCACCACCAAGACTGAATGACCACCACCAAGGACCGGTCCCGGAGAAACCGGCTCCTACCCTGAAAGGGGTAGGGCTCGCAGACCACAAACAGGGCGGGCAGGGAGCGGGAGGAGGGGAGGTCGGAAGAGGCAGTGCTTGATTCAAGTCAATAAACATTCGCTGCGCCACTTACCAAGGGCCAAAAAAAAAGAAAAAGGAAAAAGAAAAAAAATAGCTGGGCAGTATTTCAAGCAGTGGGTCCTGCAGGCTTACGGGAGGGCAAGAGCCTATGGCGGGGACTCAGGCGCCGGAGAGCTGTAGGGCTGGATCAGAGCCTCTCGCCAGGCAGGCGAGCGCGGCCAAGTAAGGCCAGGCCTCTAGCGCCCCGCTCCCGGCGTCCGCACCCTCGCTGGCCCAGCCGCCAGGCCGCCAGCCGACCAGCCGCAGCTGCTTACCGGTGGCGCCTTGCTGCCTCCCCGGGGGCAGCCCTTCAACGGTTGCCGCAGTCAGAGCACCACCCCGCGGTAGGGTACGTCGGGCCCGCCCGCAGCTCTCGGGTCCCCGCAGGACCGCCCCTCTCGCGAGAAGTCGGTGGGGGGAGTCCGTGAAGTGGGGGGAGGAGAAGAAGGGAGGGGCTTTTAACGGGTGGCGGCTGGTTCTGCGCCGGATCCGGGAGAGGGGCGGGCGCCATTGTGCTTCTCTGCGGACTGCTCTGCCTCAGTTAGGGGCCTAGAACTCGGAGGAGGAAGGCGGTGGTGTGGCCGCTACGAGCAGGACGCGCCTTGTTCAGTGCCAGCTCGGGAGCAGGGGTAATAAGCTGCGGCGCTCGGGCTTCTCCCTCTCGGGGAGTTGGTTCTAACCAAGGCCGCGTGGGGGAGGGGAGGAAACGAAGTGCAGGCCTGGGGACGCGGAGGCTGCTTCCCTCGGGTCTTTAGTTGGGGCGGAGGAGCGTGATCCGCACCGCGGTTATGAAGGGCGGCCGGGCGCAGGCCTCGGCCGGCGGCCTTTCGTCTGGTGGTGGAGTTTGTGACGGGTAGACAGGCAGATTGTACGTCTTCTTTATGGACGTGGGGTCGGCGAGGGCGAGGGGCTTGGGTCCTACTTTGGCCTTTGGCGGCCTCCTGTTGGATGAGGGTAAGGGGGATCCTCTGGAGCCCTACGGACGGGGAGTGTCACGAGTGAAGTATTTAGTGAGCGCCGTGTAGAAGGCGGGGAGGGTTGGGACTCCGCCAACCCGGTCTCCATTTGGAGGGTCTTTGCCAGCCCTTTAATTGCGGTGAAGATTTGCTCATGGATCGCTCCCTTTCTTGAATATCGTGATACTTCGGGAGTTGTTTTGTATCGTGGGAAATTGTGTGTTCTTCAAATTGAAATAGTTGATGATATATATATATAAAACCTGTTGGCATAAGAAGTGAAAATAATGGAAGGCACCAGTTGTAGAATATTCCCTCATCTTGATGGAACTGCGTAGTGACGATGAACATGTATGAAGAAGCACCATAAAATACTACAGTTAATATTTTTTTTTCTACGTACACATGTAGATAGTAATAAATGGGGAAAATCTGTCCTGGAAATGGATTCGTCACGACTAGTGTCGTTTGGCACTACTGAGAGTAAAAGTGCCAAAGTGAAATTGAATTTAGTAAAAGATTTTTTTTTTTAATTTTGTAGGACTTCTTAATTCTTTTTGTAAAAATTATTTTAAACCTCCCCGTACTCCCTTCTCTCCTTTCTATCTAGAGCTAAGGTAAGGTTAAAAATGAATTTTTGATTTAAAAACCAAACGGTGTACTTTTGTTAACAAGGCAAACACATGGTGTAACTAGATTTTTTTCATGAGATAAACATTTTGTTTCAGGAATGGGGGTCAGTATTTCATTTACAGCTCTACAGCCTCTTGTGAAACAGTTGTGGTGTATGAGGCATTTAGAGTCAGGAGATCTGGGTTTGAGTCTTAATTTTGCCATAATTATTTAACCTTTTCAGATTTCCTTAGCAGTTTTCCTTGAGGTGAGGATTAAATTAGATGAGGTAGCTGGTAGTAGTCAACACCTAGGGGATGTAATATTCTGGGAGTGAATTTTTAATGGATATAAACAATTGGAATTGATACCTGAAGTCCAGTTGTTTATATTCCGGTCAGAATGACCTTAAAATTTTATTCTGCCTGTAATATCCCCTTCCCTCCAATAATGTATTTATGTAAGTTCCATACTACAAATGTTTTTAGATAAGAACTTTTTACAACTTTTCCCTTGCTCTCTAAATTATGCCACAGATGTAAGCATGTGGGTATGCATAATCTTGTCTTTTTTCCAAAGTTGCATGCAGGGTCAGATGTCTTGAATAAGAATGATTAAAAATTTCTACTTACTTAAATACAGGTGATGATTCTTTGCTACGCTGGCAAGAGAGCTTATTTTCCAAGATAAAGCACAAAGATTCCCTTATATAGACATGCACATATGTTCTACATGAAGATGTCAGATAATCAACTGAGACGTCATCCATGGCACTCATACAGCCAATTTTTAATGAGTTCCATATCCATTTCATACAACTCTTCATCTCGCATATGTTCAAGAGTTGCCCATGTTTTACTATTTTAGGAAAATAATAGTGCAAAATTATCAAATTATGCATAATATTTTTGATAATTTGTTATTCGTTGTATTTTGGCTACTAGACCAGGGCTTCACATTACAAGAATGAGCTTTACACAGCATCCACCTTCCACAACTCACAGTTTAGTCATGAGACTAATGTATAAACTACTGCTGTTACCTTGGTGTAAGAACATAGTAGTACTGTGGGAGCATAAAGGAGGGGTGTTTAATCTTTGGGGAAATTTTTTACAGGAAGTATTGCTTGAACTGAGATGTGAAGATGACGAGCAGTTTGATAAGGAAATTGCAGAGTCATGGTATCGTATTTTGTTTTAGGAATGGACAATTTGTTCCCATAGCTGCAAAAAATTGAGTGGAAGGTGACATGAAAGACCTCCTGTTTTAGAAAGTGCTCTGTGCTGTTGGGAATGGAGAGCTATTGTGTCCCTAAGCCCAGTAAAAATGATTTTTAGATTACCTTTACTGACAGCATCCTTCTGTTACTGCAGATAATTAAGTGCCAGTAATAAAGAACAGTGGGAAATGTATAAGTGGAATGCAGAGTGAAATGCTTGGATCAAACCTTATTTTTAACCAGTAAATTAAACTGAACTAATGACCCTTTTAACTCTTAAATGTAACAGGATTAACAACTGATCACAGTAGGATTACAATGTAAAATGAGTAAGATTTTGAATTCCTTGTAAGAGCTCTTTGAAATCAGTAAAGCAAAATTCTGTTGTAATGAAATAATTTATCTTCTCACAAATCATTATTTTATAGAAACTCTATCTTTAATACAGTTGCTAATAGTAAGATGAACCCAAGGGTGGGTATAAAATTCTAATTTGAGAGTTGGCTGGGGTTTAATTTTCAATGATCTTAACTTTTCTATCCTGGTCTGAACTCATGTGGTCAAAACTGGTTTTTCTTGCTCTCAAATATATTTCTCAGTGGCTCTACCAGTTAAACTACATAAGTTGAACATCTGGTTTTGAAATCACCTACTGCTCTACACCCAGTTTTGTCAACAGCTTTAGAAGAGGGCAAATTTTGAACCTTAAAGCTAGGTTCTTACCTTTTACTAGGATCATTGCACTCCATTGTAATGTGTTTCTCACCTTTCAGGAAAAAAACCCTAAAATGGTGTCCACTCTGAATGAAGATTGAAACTTGACATTTACAGATTAAATATACTTCAGAGAAGAACATATTGTCTTTTAAAGTAGTGTAGACTTAATAGTCATATTTTCTCTTGAAGATGTTAGACATTTTTCTAATTATTATTTAAGGCATGGGTATATTTTTGTATCTTAAATAGCTGTCATCTAAAAACCCAGAGGCAGGGCGCCTGGGTGGCTCAGTTGGTTAAGCGACTGCCTTCGGCTCAGGTCATGATCCTGGAGTCCCTGGATCGAGTCCCGCATGGGGCTCCCTGCTCGGCGGGGAGTCTGCTTCTCCCTCTGACCCTCCCCCCTCTCATGTGCTTGCTCTCTCTCATTCTCTCTCTCTCAAATAAATAAATAAAATCTTTAAAAAAAATAAAAATAAAAAAAATAAAAACCCAGAGGCAGTTATTTAGAAGACTTTCTGTTGTGACCATGCACAGCTTGCATATCTCCAGGTTCACTGGGATCACTAAAACACTAGCATTTCCCATTTAAAATATATATCTATTTTTTTCTCTCAGAAGCAGGTTTTTTAAAGAAAAGAAATAGAGGTAAATAATGGAATTATGTTTGCACTTCCGGAAGACTAGTGGCTATTAAAGTACATAGGTATTTTGTGTGATAACTCTGGCCTTCATGCCGTGAATTTATTGTATAGTAATATTGTGCTCTTGATAATTCACTAACTGCAACTCCACTAGATGTTTAAGACAAATTCTAAATTAGACCCTGAAATAGAATCAGATTTTTCATAGAAACTGGGTACATAATAATAATTGTAGCAAAATTAAAATTAGGATGAGTTATGAAATTTTATTGCTGCATAGGAGACCACCTCAGAACCTAGTAGATTAAAACTGCTGTTTACTATTACAGTTCTGTGTACCTGCTGAGCAGTTCTGTTGGTTTTGCCAGGGTTCACTCATGCACCAGCATTCAGCTGTGGGATTTCTCAGACTGGAAGGTCCGAGATGGCATTACTCACATGTCTGATAGTTGGTATTGGTTGATATTTAGGCCTTGCTTCATGTGGCCTAATGACATGGGGGTCCCAGACAGCATTCCAAGAGAGTGAAAGTGGAAGTTGTAAGACTTACAGCTTTGCAGATCATATAATGTCACTTAACACTGCATTCTCTTAGTCAAAGTAAATGTCACAAGACTAACCCATATTCAAGGGGTGGGGAAAATCAGATTTTACCTCCAGCAACATCACAATATAAAGAGGTATGCGTACTTGGATGGGAGGGATTTGCAGCCATGTTCTATAATTTACCACAAGTTGCTTAGAATAGTTTAAGTACAGGCACTTTTAAAGATGTCATGATTGGGATTTTCTTTAAAATAGAGGATGGTAAAACAGACTATAAGGTAAGTCAGGTGTTGATAATTGTTGGAGACTAGATTGGTACATGGAGGTTTACTACTGTCTCTAGTGTATGTTTGAAATTTTTTATAGTAAATTTTTTAAGGCATACTCAGGTATTTGAAACATTCTGTGAGAAGTTTTAACCTTATCTTCTACTTAATATTTACTAGAATAGTACATTTTTGCTTAGTACTTATTTCTTTTGTGGTATGTAGATACTAAAAGAGGGTAGACCAGTAGTACTTCAATTTAGGGAATTCTTAGAAGTTCTTTATAGATTTTATTAGAAGTTATTAAACATGTCTTTTCATTTGCAAATAACTTTCCCTTAATTATAAAAGGAAGACCAAGTACATTAAAGAAATTTTGGAAAACTGAATATAAAGCAGAAAACAGAACCCAACCAGAGATAACAATAAAATGTTAATAATGCTTCTTTTTCCCAGTATTTATGCATATACTTATATAGGCAAGGTATTTTTTTAGATAGTAATTATCCTCCTGTAATAAATCTGAATGACTTTAAAAAGTCTTTTTATTATGTGCTAAAGACAATTTTTTTAAAAGATTTTATTTATTTTAGAGAGGGAGGGAGAGAGAGCAGGGGCGGGGGTGGGGCAGAGGGAGAGGGACAAGCAGACTTCGTGCTTAGTGCAGAG